AAAAATTCAAAGAAAAGTGATTAAATAATTTTCAATAATTTAAACACTGTAATTGTTTTTCCACAGTTCATTTTTAGATATAGCTATAACTTCTGTGTTGTGTTTTTTTTTGTAAGAAAGATAAACAAATATCATCATATTTGTGATTCAATGTTAGTGAGTGTGCATTTTACAGCTTTCAGTACACTGAGGGATTAACATGCTAATGTTAATTTTGAAGCCTCAGGCTATAGTTTAAAATAGCCAGCTGGCTATCAGCTGAGTAACCAAGCTAGTGGTAAGTTTTTATGCTGCTGTTGTCACCACATTGGCGTGGCCTGAGGTGATGGGGCCCAATGTGATATCTTTCCATGGGGCCCAAAATCCCTGGCAGCACCCATGCCCCTGGCCAAATGACATGTTTTGTTGATTTGTGAAATAAGTGAAGAATAAGTGAAAATACAGGGAACACATTTAAATATATTCGCTAATTCTAGTGTTTAGTTTAACATAGTGGGGGGGAAAGAAACCCACCAAAATATAAAATGTGCCATAGTTTTTGCACAGGCCACATTTTATGTTTTTTTTTTGTCCTAAAATTGAATAAATAAACAGTGTGCATTAAAAAGTGCAGATGTGTGTTCTCTGTAGAGAATGTATTCACTTATTTCATGTAGACAACAAATTGTAATTTGACCAGGGGTGCCCAAACTTATGCAAACAGCTGTATATGTAAATGACCACTGTTCTGATTGGCAGCGCTGTATTGTGCCTTGTTTAAAAAGCACTCTGGGCTGAAGTACTGCTTACAACTTAGGTGTGAATAGGGGAGGGCTACGCTGCTGTAGGCTGACTAGGCATGTGAATGTGTTGGTGCTCATGACATCACAAAAACTAAAAAAAAAAGTACCTCCTGACGTACCTGACCAAAGTCAACCTACTTTTTATGTAGACATTAAAGAACAATTTAAAATAGAGAATAAATGCATTCTATGGCACCTACAAGGCCAACTGAGCCAATAGACCTTCCAGCTAGCCCTTACATTCTTATTCCCATAACACTAAAGGCCCTCATGCTGCTTTGGCTGCGAAGTCGTCTGCTGCTTTATAAACTTGCTTTTTCTGCTGTGTTCAGATGTAAGGTGTTCCACTTTATACAGTAGATTTGGTGGGCACACAAGACTTAATCAAGCGCATACATTTGTCTTTTCTTTTTCACGTCCACTTTTTCCATTCATTGTGCTTTTTTCACAGGCTCTCAAAAGAATCCATTAAGCTGAATTTCAAAGTCCCTTTTGTTTGAAAGCTTGATGTGCACTTTACATCCCGTTACCGTGGAAACCAGGTGAGTCAAATGGAAAAGTCAGGACTGATTGGACACATTTTGATTACAGGGAATGTGCGTTTGTGTGTGATTGAGAGTGTGTGAGTCTGTGCGTGTGTCTAGGTGGGTGGGAAAAAGTGAGTATGAGTGTGTGTGTGTTTATATGCTTGTGCGTGTGGGCTTTTGTGTCAATAAGTGTGTGATAGTGTGTGTGTGTGTGGGGTTGTATGTTGATTAAGTGTGAAAGAGTGCATTGAGGTTGCCAGGTGTCCAGTTTTGGACTGAACAGTCTAGATTTGAGCACTGTTGTCCGGTTGGTCTGTTAAGAAATCCTGTTGAGTCTACCTTAAATTAAGTACTGGTTTAGCCCCATCATTGCACTTCTCTCTTAGTCACAGTCTGTGGGGTAGGCACAGAGTTAGGTTATGTTTTGGCAAGGTTAAAGTAAAAAAAAAAAGTAAAGGAACTTATTTTTTGCTGCTACTTAAAAAAAAAACAATGAGTTACAGTATGTAGGTTTTTAGGAATGTGGAGACCTCTCTGGTGTAATTGCATGCAATGTGCAGAACATTTTGTAATGTCAGCTGTGATTCAGATGCCTTCCCCAAGTGGATGAACCTGACATTTGTAAGCGTGTTGAAGAGTCAAAACTTTCTAAAGGACGTGTGTGTGTGTGTGTATGATGTTAACAAGTAAAGACATATGACTTTGTACAAAAAAACTCATGTGTAATCTGATCCACACCTGACTTTTAAATTATTATTTCAGGTTTTACAGAGTGACTCAAAGTAGTGCACACATGCCATATTTTAGTGTATTTTAGTGTATTTTTTCTCCTGCTACTTCTTTCAATTTTAATGACAAAATTTTACGTAGTGCAGCTTTAATTGTGCATCTTCATCTGCTTTATGCGTTAGTAAACCTGCAGGAGACATAGTGAACAGGTTGTTTACTCATGGTTTTATTTATGTTACACAATCCCAGATCAAATAATAGCCTGGATGATTTATTTGTACGCCTCTTAAAGATTTACCCATAGAAAAGCAAGAGAAAAATGTCAACATGAAAAACAATTATCACAAAAATCATGCCAGAAGAGACAGAATGGTGGTTGATAAATTGCATATTGAATGCTTGAATCAGGTGTGGTGTGGCTGGGTGGATTGTATTTTGAGTATGACTCTCTCTCTCTCTCTCTCTCTCTCTCTCTCTCTCTCTCTCTCTCTCTCTCTCTGAGGATTTATTTTGGTTGGCTGCTCCCTGCTGGTTGAGCAGAATGTCAGAGTGCTGGTACACAGGGGAAAGGACATTGCTGGAGATCCAAGTATGTTTTCAACAGCATCTATCAAACAGGTGCTGACAGTAAAACTCAAGACCCGCACACACACACACAAAGGACAGCCAGACTACTGTCTGCCCTGATCCCCCAGCATAAAAAATAGCCTTCCTCAAAGAGTTAGACAGTGACCAGGGGCTATGCCACAAGCCTGTGGGGTGTGTTTGTATGCATGCGTGTGTTTTGAAGCTTACTCAATGCCTAAATGTCAATATTTATTTAAATTTAGCAATGTATGAAACCCTAAAACATGCAGAATGGACTATATCATTATTATAAACGTTCTGTCTATTATTAAACCCCAGTGGAAAGATGTGGGCAGCTTTGGAAAAGGAAACTTAAGAACCTACAGTAGATTCTGTCCCAAGTTAAATTCCGAATTGTCTGACACTGTAAAAAAACAAGCAATCCTGTTACTCAACATGTATTTCATAGCAAGCCACACATTTTTTTATTTCTGAATGGGCTGATGAAAAAAGTAGATGGCAAGGCTCCTACAGGACTCCTACAACACTACTGTACAAGTCCTACAGGACTCTTACAGGACCATTATACAACTCTTACTGGACCACTGTGCATCTCCAACAAGACTCCTTCAGAACCACTGTACAACTGTACAGGACTCCTACAACACTACTGTACAAGTCCTACAGGACTCTTACAGGACCATTATACAACTCTTACTGGACCACTGTACAAGTCTTATAGGTCTCATACAGGACTAATGTACAGCTTCTACAGGACCACTGTGCAGCTCTTATAGGACTTGTATATTATTAATGTACAACTTCTGCAGGACCCTTACAAGACCACTGTGCAGCTCTTATATGACTCATACAGGACTCATGTACAGAGCTCCTGTACAACTATTCTATGACTTTTACAGGATTAAAGTACAACTCCTGGAGGTCTCCTTCATGACTAATGATCAACTAATACAAAGCTGTTACAGGACTAATGATGCATTCATACAGGACTCCTACAGGACTTTTGTACAACTCTTTCCAGAACATTTCTGTTGTAAAATTGTATGCAGCTTCGGTTTTACCCAAGAATATGCTTTGATAATTCAGTTTTTGCAGGAATATAAGATCATCCCACTGGAAGTATTCTGAGAGGAATTTAAATGGGACATTTGTACAGGACAGTTTCTACAGGACACATGGAAAAGCTTACAGGTCTCCTGTACCTGCAGGAATATGTTTATAAAGGTGATACTATAATGCCTCTCTCATCACACTAAATGATCAGGAAGGTTGTTTACGGCCAAGATGGATAACACGTGTTGGATGCCACAGGGTGTGTAATTAGCTCCCTGTCCTCAGGATGGGCGCTGATGCCAGCGGTTGCGAGTCACTGACGGAACTCACATTTAACACTGAGCTTAATTTATGACTGACATTTGGTCATTATAGGAACACAGGGATATAAGCCAACCTGGGTAGTTGCACTCAGCCGAATGTGATGGTCCGATCATTTGTAACACAGAGGCCTGAAGCTGTCCTCAACATTGTTTTGTTAAAGTGTTGGTTCCTACTTTATTTGACCAGAAGACTAGCCAAATTATATATTAAATAAATATGATATATTCTGTATAGATGCACAAATCGTAAACAGATGATTTGGTGAAAGGCAGTCAGATTGTATGTAGTTTATACTTAAAGTGGGTGAGCTTTGGGTAAGGTTTAAGTTTAAGGATGACCCACTATTGGTCTAAAGTGATGAAATTTTGTACAATTGTGCTTGAGATAAACATCTATTAGTACTTGTGTGAATTAGTTTTGATATATATGATTTTCATAGTTTTCTTCACAATCAAACATAGATTCTTTATTTTTTTTCTTTTTTGTTTTTTTTTTACTTTTTACTAAAAACAGTAGTTCCATGAAACCAGAGGATTTAATATAATAATAATATAAACGACAGAAATTGACTTTTTAGTCACATGGTTTGATCAGGCAAGCACAGGGGGCGTTTGGACCAAAGGTGGACCAATATGCACAGTAAACATTGATGCATGAAGGAAAATTTAAGGTGATGTTAATGCATATTTGCATAATGCTTATTTAGTTTAAAGCATCAAAACAAAGTGTCAGCGGGTCTTCAAAGACGTAAATCTGATGCAGAAAGCGAAATAAAACACTTGTTTTCCAGTGCAGGTCTTGGTGTGCGCCCTTTACCGTTTTGTTGTTGATAAAATAGCATCACAATAAACAAAAACGGCGAAAAAAGCTTCAAATGTAAAGTGTCTGGTTCACGTCTCGGCGCGTGCCGAACCATAAGTGCAGCGGCGCGTGCGCAGTGACGCGTGCGAGTTGTCTCCGGGGCGCGAGGCTCGAGCTCCGGCAGCAGCACGGCGCGCCTCCTTCCATCTACAGTTCGCGGTGACAGGGAGCGCGAGGAGGAGCTACGGGAGCATGCTGGGCTCAGAGGACCACGCGGAGGAGACAAACGGAACCGGTAAGGACCGACGGGAATCTGCGCGCTGGGCGCCCTATTTTATCAGTAGATAGGTTTTTAAATCCTGCTGAGCCGTTATTTAGGAACGTTCAGGTTAACGGTCACTGACCCCAGTCAGCCGTTCGTAGTGGAGCTGAAAGGTGACTGACTTTAGTCTTGAATGAAAAACTGTTGAGAGGAGCGAAATCCTTTGCTGGCCACTGTGAGCACGAGCGTCCATGGAGAGTGTTTGTATGGGCAGAGCTTTGTTTAGTGCCCTCAGAGTCGCCGGGTCACGACTTCAGCACTTTGACTATCTGCTGTCATGTTTTTAGAAAGGAAGCTAGCAAACTTGGCTAACTTGACAACTAACACGGCACTTCGTGAGGAGAGGTGAGGAAAGAGTGTTCAGTGTGGTGACACGCAGAAGTCAGGCTGATGCTGTGTTTTAGAGGTAAAACAAACATCTCAGGTGTCTGAATGAGTCAGTATTCAGTGAGCAGCGTGTTTGATTCACTGTGTGAACGTAACGGTCGTTACGGAATATTGTCGGTTACAACTGAGGGGCTGTTCTAGAATGTGTGAGCGGCGCGAGCGCGCTGTGAGTGAGCGTGTAGGTTTAAACGTTCCTTCTAGCGACCTTTCCCGCCTTTTATCTGTAACTGTTTTTAAACCGTATCGTTTCGCGCTGGTTTGAGTGTCTGAATTGGTCTGCTTGCCTTGTTTGCTTCACTCTTTCGGTGTCACTCTCTTTCGCGCGCGCGCGCCCTCACGCGCTGCTGCTCTGCTCTCCTGCGCTTCTCTGTGAGCGCTCGCTCGCGTGGACCTCCTCAGACGTGAGCGCGCGGCCTGTGTGTGAGAACTCGTTTAAAATGTAAGCAAAAGCAGTTAAGCAAGTAGAATATCTGATAAGTGGATAAAAATTAAGATAAATAAATAAATTGATGAAATGAATCCTAAAGAGCAGTCCCAAAAATAGGCTCTATTATTTTTTATGTATTATCCACATTTTAATTTCTGTAGGGTATTTATTTTTAAAATTCATGCTAGTTTATTACCTTATATATGTTCTATTGTATGTTTGTTTATATCTTTATTTTAGCACTCTAGCTCCTCTGTAGCCAGTCTACATCAGGACTAACTTGACAATCATTCAGTGTATCTCTCAGCCTTTGTTTACTGTTATAAATGAGGTTTAGTTCTCTGGGTCTCTTGTTAAAAATGCTTCAAGTTTCAGAACGTGCCATTCACGTCCCAGTCCATACAGTCCATATATGGAAAGTGTGCTGCAAAAATAGGCTTTTTTAAATTCATTTTTTTTCTGTGATCACATGAATCAGCTCATTTACATATATCCATCTATTCAGCATACAACAGTTAGGCTCCACCACTTCTTGCTGAAGTTGTAAGGAGGATTTCAGCTCTAAGGGTTTTTTAGATGAGACACAATACCTGGCAGCCAATCAAACCAGAGCTCATTTATCTTATAGCACTTTTAAATGCATAGTAACAAAACCAGCCTGCTTAATTCTAAGGGATAAAGAGAAGTTGGAAAATGCTCATTTAAAATGACTTATGACTGGTTTTGGTACATAAAATCACAGAAATGTTATAATTGGGTCTTGAGAGGTAATAAAATACAAGAGAAATGTAGGATATCTTTGATAGGAGTGATGAAGCAAATGTGGCATTAGGGCTGATTGATCTGGAGAAAATTGCTGTTTGATTGGGATTTAAGTTGTAATTACTTTCTATAAATTAAACTTTGCTCTTAAAAAAGATGGTTCTTCAAGGGTTCTTTAGGAAAGAAAATGGTTCTGTATAGAACCATGAACACTCAAAGAACGCTTTGTGTGATTTAAAGGGTTCTTTGCATCATGAAATCGTTCTTCAGATAGAGAAGGAGCAGTGGATGGTTCTATATGGAACCTTTTTGAAAAGGGTTCTGCTATCATTATGATGTGAAGCTCGTAACAACAGAGGAATCCTTTTTGGTGCTATATAGAACCCTTTTTAAAAAGTTTCTATGTAGAACCATCTACAACAGTCTCCATCACTCTGAAGAACCATTTCACTGTGTAAAAAAACATTTAGGCATGTATGAACCATTTTTACTAAAGAACCTTTGAATAACCGTCTTTGAGTGTGTACAAGCTTAGGTTTACTTGGTTATCTACGCTCGTCATTATTGGGTTGAATTTAAGATGACAAATCGTCGCTGTCCAAAGAAAAACAAGTATCTCCAAAATAGTAACTTTACAGGAGAGAGCAAAAACACTCATACCTTTCAAGTTAAGGTAAGTTCATGTTAATGTAAGTTATTCCAATTGAATTTGGAACATTTCTGTTGGTCCATGCATCATACAATGTTTACACAACATAAAGGGCAGCTGGTGTGTTGAAATGATGTAGAAAACTAAAAATCGACAAAAATGGAGATGGTTTTCATTGGGCAGTGACGATATGTAACATCGTTAACATTTAAGATGATTTTAAGATAACATATGTTAGATTGTAACATAGCCAATGTTAGGTACGACCTAGATTCATACTGTCACTGTCTTATCAAAACCTTGTAATGTGTGGCTTTGTTGTTTCATTGTCTTTACACCTTCTGAAAAGACCAGCTGTCCTTTACATTGTGTGAATGTATTATGATGGACCAAAAAAGGGTCCAAAATGACCTGGAATAAACTCTTATTACGTTAATGTCTATTACAGTAAAGAACAACTTCCTTCTCATATAAAGTTCCCATTTCAGCATTTTTGTTGTGACAGTGATGATAAGAAGTTGTGAACGTCAGTTCTAAGTAAATGTGCTGAGCCTGTTGAGTGCTTAAGATAACTGATGAAAGTTAATTCATTCACTTTGGTGGCCGTAGTTTCTGCAGGTTTTCGATAGTCCTTTGAGGCCCTTTCAGCTACTTAGGTTAGTTTAGTGACAGCATGGCTACTGACTGCACTCTCCCTTTCTCTGTGGTGTCTCGCCTGATGTATGGTTATGATGTTCTCGTTGAGCCAGAGGCACAGAGAGATAAATCACAGTGGGGAGAGATGCGCTTGGGTGGACAACGTGATGAACAGCTCTTGTTGTGGCCGTTGGGACTGCAACTGCAACTTCAGCTTCTGTGGCTTCCCTCTTGGGAGGTAACTCATGTAAACGTTTACGCGGTTCGCTTCGGTATGTGTTGTGTTGTGATCAGCTTTTAATTATAATGTTTAGGTGGAGTCTTAGGCGGAGGCTACTGTTTGAAGAAGTCAGTTGTTATGTTTCATATCTGGAGGTCTAAAAGCTTGTGTATGAGTGTGTATGTGGGAGGGTTTGGGGGGTGGGGGGGATCTAATATCTGATTACTGTGTGTAGTTCCTAATGCTGTCTTTGGCAAGCTGGGGCTATCTAACCCAGTGTTTTTGTTTAGGATGTGCATGTTTGTATGTGTTAGAGCACAACAGAGCAGGAGTCAAAGAAAAATCAACAAAAGTGGGCTTGCTCGCCATTTCCTCTTCCATTCTGAAGTCTAATTGCACATCCGGCAAGTGATATGACAACACAACACATTATGGTCCGTATAAAACAGCTGACCAGCAAAGCAAAACTTCTGACTTTCTTTTGTTGTCTGCAAGTGATAAACTGTGTTTGTCTGTGTATATGTATATATGCTATTGGTAAAAATGCTCTTGGCAGAATCTGTAACGCCAGTATTTCTTGGGAAGCCATTGGTGGTGGGTTGTATAAGATATTACTCACCTGTATGCCACAAATACACCAAATAACACATTTAAACAGTGTAAAACACGCTAACGTGAATGGCCAGGCTTCTTTCAGTAATCACTCATCTTCTGCTGTGTTACAGTTCAGTTACAGTCTGAGTTAATGTTAGTCCAGGATCAGCCAAGAGATCTTGGGGTAGAAAAAGCGTTTAGCCTTGGTTTAGCCTTTAGCGTAGCAGCCTGCTAGCTGGACTAGTGTGCACCCCCATCGGTCAGCTGCATCGCACAGCACTGCGGTCTTGTGGCCTTTTGCTTCACTCAAGCCAAGAAAGTAGCTGAACTGCCGCTTTTGTTAGCATAAATAACTGTAATATTGAGACAAGTGACTACTTCATTTATTAAATATGATTCTTATTACAAATTATATAGTGGTAAATACACTATATATATATATAGTGTGTGTATATATATATATATATAGAGAGAGAGAGAGAGAGAGAGTGTATGTATGTATAAATAGCTATGTCTCAAGCAAGTAATTGCCATTCATTCAAGCTTAGTATGTTTTACTGGTGATACAGAATGTGGGTTTTACTGAAATAAAATATGTAAAAAGTGAAATTGTATAAATATCAGGACTAAGCTAGTTAGATTAGTTAGACTTAGCATTGGTATCTGTACCTGATATTGACCGATACTCAAGGATTAGCTATCGGTATTGGAAGGAATGAAGTGGTATCGGTGTGTCCTTTTGCCAATCCAGTCATTTTATGGCATAAATTATGTGAGCCAGCTGACATTAGTTGCTAATAAAAAGTACTAGCAATGAGCTATCTGGTGTATTGATAAATTCTTACAGACTTTTTACAGATTCATGTTATCTGTAAAAGTTTCTGAGCACTTTGTGTGAAGTTAATTCAGATCCCGGCATCACCTATAGCTTATATCTGTTTTAGCTGCATGCTTCAGATAAAGAGTAAATAAAATAGGTTTTGTTAGTGGTGTCAAAGATAACACATTTATAAAACATTAAGACAATAAATGATTAAGGCCATTCATTTTTTTTAAAATCAGTGTTAATGCATTTTCCTTGTTTGACTCTTCAAAACATCTGTAGTTCGACTCTGAAGTCCAGCTGATCTTGCACTGTGTTACTGTGACTGACTCTGTGAATGTAACCCTCTCATTTAAACAGTAATCAAAAAATAATTTCCAGCAACTGCAGTACCATGAATTTGTTTATAATTGAAGTACATCAAGTCTGCAGTATGATTTACAAGCAAAACACACAGCTGATGCAAACAGTAGCT